TGGAGAATGTTTTTACATCTCCCACAAAAACCACCTCCTATCCATTTCTCCTTCTTTCTGGATCTGTGATAAATGGCATGTTTAGGTTGTCGACTGTTCTACCTTTGCTATGGATTCTAACTGTCGTCAGTATAAAATTACCTCTTTTGTCCTATTAATGCTCTTTGAGATTTTGAACTGTCGGACAACAATTTTGCCACCTCTGTGCCTTTTCGTTCGCATTGGCCAGAAAAATTTTCCTCACCCTTTAATTTCTCAACTTTTCTCTCTAATTCCTTGTGGGTGTCTATTTTCCTTTTGCTCTTTTAACTTCTGTCAATTCATTGTGAAGAACGTGTTCTTTCCTTTCTTTGGAGGAAGCAGGCAGCACTATTTCATGAGAACTGTGGATCATTTTCCTAACACTGCACCATTCGATTTACAGTTGATGAAAATCCCTCTAATATTCTGCATCTGATCGTCTATCAGGACCAGTTTCTATCTTTTTCTTAGTTTCTGTGTTTAAGGGGGAGTTGGCACATACTGTGTTAGGTCCTGCAGGCAAATGCCATTTTAAATTAGACTCTCAACAGCCAAACGTTCCTTCTTCACAACAACTTCATAACTGAACTTCGTAACTTAACACAAGAATCCCGTCCCTGCTGGAGAGTGAACTGCAATCATAAACTCACCTTCGTGTCACTCACTCACGATTCAAATCACCCCCAAGCAAGCCTGATAGAAAACTATTACTAATTCAGGGCAGCTTAACAAGTTGTCACTGGCCTGCCACACATCGGGCTTGTTTTCCTTTTATGTATTCCCTTAACAAAAGGGTATCAGGCACTTACTTTGTGCCAGGGACTATTCTGGACCCTGGGCATAAAGTGGGGAACGAGACAGAATGTTTGTATCCTCATGGAGAATACATTTTAGTAGGACAAAAATAAACAACCAAGAATGTAACAATAAATATATAAGGCTAGGTGGTGATGGTCGCATATAGAAAAATGGACTTAGAGAAGGCAGATGAAGGTAGTTATTTCAGGGGAGGTGGTCAGGGAGGTGACATTTAAGCAGAGACCTGACAGTCAAGGAGAAGCTAGAGGAGGGCTGGGAACAGAAGGATCCAAGCAGAGGGAGCTGATTAGCAACACCGCCCTAAGACACCAACAGACTGCCTTGAATGAACGTTAAGATTCCTCTTGTGACACCCAGCCACGATTCAAAGCCCAGTGGCTGCCACGGGCTCACACGCTCTCATTCTGGGATCCAGAGGGAGGAAAGGGGGATACTGTCATTTCTCTCTGACTTCTATTATAGGAGGTGGAGTGCATGCCATTGGCAATTCCCCAAATTAGAGAGCAGAGAACTGCTGAGCAATTTTCTACTACAGTTCACTCCTTTTGCTGTCCAACATGCCTTTTCATACTTACATTTTTCAAAAGTATTTCCAGCTGACATTGTGCAACCGGATTCCAGAGAGCCACAAGCATGTTTACCCACTTACCACGGGAAGGCAGCAGAAAGTCTCTTCATTTCCAGCATCACCATCTCGAAGTCCAGGGTTTGCGCATGAGGGTGATTCCTCTAGATCTTTTGGATCTTATTATGCAATGTCTGCACTCAATTGCAAAGTTAACAGGCATAAAACATCCTATATAAAAATGGTACAGTAAAGAAAGAAGACAGAGAAGGGAAATTAATAAACATGAGCATATGTAAATATGTACACACTTAATTGTAAAAGGATATTAAAGTAAATATAAAATATTGAAATATTTACAAATGGTTTCTATTCCAAAATGTTTTTAAAAATCTGTTACATATAAGAGACAAAGTACAAATTAAAATTAACAAATATCAACACTTTAAATCAAATTTATTTAAATAAAGCTGAATTTTAAAATTAACTACCCATAGTTTGGGGGTATGAATTGATGCTTGTGATAAATAAGATTAACAGGGGTGCCTGGGTGGCTCAGTCAGTTAAGCATCTGCCTTCAGCTCAGGTTATGATCCCAGGGTCCTGCGTCAGGCTCCCTGCTCAGTGGGGAGCCTGCTTCTCCTTCTCCCTCTGTCTCTCCCAACTCATGTTCTCTCTCTCTCACTCTCGCTCTTGCTCTATCTCAAATAAATAAATATTTTTTAAAAAATAAATAAGATTAATAGAAGTTGCAACAACAACAAAAAATCTAAGTTCCGTTATTTCACTTTTTAGAGAATTTAATTGTTTTAATTTAATTCCAATATCATTAACATAATATTATATTAGTTTCAGGTGTACAAGATGGTGATTCAACAACTCTGTACATTCCTCGGTGCCCATCATGATGAGTGTGCTCTTAATCCCCATCACCTATTTCACCCTTCCCCCCACCTACCTCCCCTCTGGTAACCACCAGTTTGTTCTCTGTAGTTACTAGTGTGTTTTCTGGTTTGTCTCTTTTTCCTTTGTTCCCTTGTTTTGTTTCTTAAATTCTACATATGAATGAAATCATATGGTATTTGTCTTTCTCTGACTGACTTATTTCCAGAATTATACTCTCTAGATCCATCCAAGCTGTTGCAAGGGGCAAGATTTTAATGGCTGAGTAATATTCCATTTACATAGATACCACATCTTCTTTATCCATTTATCTGTTGATGGACACTTCGGCTGCTTCCATAATTTGGCTGTTATAAATTAAAGGATTTTAAATATTTTTGATTAAAAATTTGTTTTACATCAAAAGAAACAGCATGTTGGGGTACCTGGGTGGCTCAGTCAGTTGAGTGTTAGACTCTTGGTTTCAGCTCAGGTCCTGATCTCGAGGTTATGGGATCAAGTCCTGTACCGGGCTCCGTGCTGGGCATGGAGCCTTCTTGCAATTCTCTTTCTCTTTCTCCCTCTGCCCCTCCGCCCCTAAAAAAAAAAAAAAAAGAAGAAGATAAAAGACACAGCATGTGAAATTTACCAACAAAATGACATTTCAATATATAAGGATAATAGAACAAAAGACAAAAACCTTTGCACGACAGAAACCATTCTCCAAAATAATTGAACCATTTTACATTCGCACCAGCAATGTATCAGTTTCTCCACATTCTTGTCATACTTAACATTGTCTGTATTTTTTTTTATTATAGCCATTCTACCTAGTGTGAATTAGCATCCCATTGTGGTTTTAATTTGCATTTCCCTAATGCCTAATGATATTAACTAACCTTTCATGTACTTATTGGTCATCAATGTATCTACTTCAGTGAAATGTCTGTCGCATCTTTTGGTCATTATTTAATTAGGTTATTATTGACTTGTAAGGATACAAGTCCTTTACCAGAGAGATGATTTACAAATATTTTCTTTTGGTATGTGGCTCATCTGCTCACTTCTTAATGGTGCCATTTGAAATGTAGAAATTTTTAATTTTGATGAAGTTCAATTTATCAATTTATTTTCCTTTATCAACTGTCCTTTTGGGTGTCCCATCCAAGCATTTTGATTTTTGTTCAAGGAAGACAACATAATTTTGCCTTAAAAATACATAACAGATACATTTTTCTTACCCCATCAATTTTGAATAAACCTCACATTATGGTGGCAACACTCTCCTAATCTAGCATCTGCTTTGCAAGGTAAAAAAATAGTCACTGCGGAAAGCGTTTTGTTATCAGTGCACACCAAGGCTGCAGATCATTATCTGGTGAGTTTTTGCCTGTGTATCAACTCATTGTCTGCCTGTACCTTCCCTCTGATTTCGTGGGGAGCTTTGCACCCTTGGCTTTGTTCTGTAGCACCCAGGGAAATGCTCCTTTTGAAAGCAAAGGTCAAACTTTGCATGCTCAGCCCCACTGAACCGACAAGAAGGCATTGGAAAATGAGAGACAGTCCTATTTAGGAGCCCATCTTTAGAGCCACATAGGGTTTGAGTTACTGCTGTGCAACTTCTGAGCCATGAGAACTTGAGCAAGTTCTTTAGTGTCTCTGAACCACAGATGGTCCTTTAGTAAGATGGTAACAGTGGTAGTTAGTCTAGACTTGCCTGCACCTACTAAGCCTTCCATAAATGTCCGCCATCACTGTTTTCATAATTATTATTGCTATCATCAGTATTTAACTAAGACCGGCAAGAAAGAACCCCAGAGTGTCAACTTTCAGAAACTTCTTTGGAACCTAGGTTTTAACAATACTTAGGGAATCAGAGCTATTCCTTGCTACTCCATGTGGCCCCGTAGGCCAGCAGCATCAGCATCACCTGGCAGCTTGTTAGAAATGCAGAATCTCAGGCTCTGCCCAGATTTGCTGAACCAGAATCTGCATTTTCACAAGGTGTCCAGATGATTTGTGTGCACTTTACAGTTTGGAGGGCCCCAGAATCTTCCTAGCGTGGGGGGAAGGGTGAACACCCTGACGGTCTCCTTCTTGTCCTTGGACTCTACCCACTGCTTGGCTGCTGAACAATCCTCCCTTCATTTAACAGGTGCTCCTCAAGGAGATCTTGGTTTGGCTGTGGGTCTTTTTTTCTTTTTCTTTTTCTTTTTTGTTAACCTCAGTAAAGGAGGTTAGGGAGAGTCCTGTCTTATCTTAGGGGCACCATTACAGCTAATCAGGATTTCTGTCAGGAGGGGGGTTGCTGTACCCTTTCAAGGAAAAAGATAACAGACAATTAGCATAGACAAGATATGGACAGATAAGTGGAAGTAGTACATTGGTTTTCTTCTCCTCAGGAGTGAATTAACAGGCTGATGAAACCAGCTATCAAAACTCTCAGTTAATCTTTTAAAGAGTCATCATCTGCCTAAACTGTTTAAATGTGAAGTGTGGCCTTTCAGACAGATATTTGTGGATTGGGGCTCCTTCCAAAATCACAGGCTCTTTACAAGAAAAAGTCATCTTTTCCAGTATAAATTAATAGAAAAGATAAGACTTGGACCTCACTTAACTGCCAGACTCATCTGTGCCCAAATCCTTAAAAAGCAGTGCCTCCAACAGGAAAACAGAGTCCCTTCTCTCGTTTATTTATTTATTTATTTTTTAGAAGCCCCAGAGAAAAGTATGGGAAAAATCACACCAGAAAATCATACAGTTGGGATTGCATGTTGCTGAAACCAAAACTAGGATTTGCCCAGAAATTTCTCAGGTAAAGTGTGGGGAGGAAGAGAAAGGGAGGGAAAGAGTTAAATGGTGAATTCCACAAACAAGGTCTCCCACGGGGTTTTTTTTTTTTTTCTTAACCTTCTCCCCGATGTAAACCGGTAATTAAAACACAGCAGGATGAGCTATAGTGACTAAAGGCAAGGCAAGTGAAGGCTTTGGAGGCAACCCCCCATCTAAACTGAATCTTGCAAGACAAATAGGAGTTAGATAGAAGGAGAGGAAATGTGGCCCAGAGGGCAATTTTTAAAAATTGAGATGTAATTAAACAAAAACGGAACAAAGCAAAACACCAGACTCTCAATACAGAGAACAAACTGGTGGCTGCCAGAGGGGTGGGGGTGGGGGTGGGGGGTGGGGAAAAGAGATAAAGGGATTAAGAGGTATAAACTGCCAGTTATAAAACAGGTTAAGTCACAGAGATGAAGCGCCCAGCACAGGGAACATAGTCGATAATATCGCAATTACATTGTATGGTGACAGATGGTGACTACCCTTGTCATGGTGAGCACTGAGTAATGTATAGAATTGTCGAATCAGTGTGTTGTACACCTGAAGCCAATATAATATGTGTGTTGATTATATGTCAATAAAAAAATGAAGTAGAGCTTTAAAAAAAATGAGCTGTAATTCACATACTACAAAAGTAACCCTTTAAAGATATACAGTTTTTTAGTATATTTACGAAGTGGTGCGACCATCACTACTGTCTCATTCCGTGACATTCATCACCCCAGAAAGAATCCAGTAGGGACTCCCGGGTGGCTCAGTTGGTTAAGCGGCTGCCTTTGGCTCAGGTCATGATCCCGGGACCCTGCGACCGAGCTGGGGCATCAGGCGTGCACTCTCTCTCTCTCAGTCTCTCTCTCTCAAAATAAATTTTAAAAATCTTAAAAAAAAAAAGAATCCCTTTACCCATTAGCCTTCACTCCCATTCCCTCCTTCCCCCATCCTCTAGATACGAATCTACTTTCTGTAAGAGGACAATTTTTAAGACAGAGGAGGAGCCAGCCCACGGGATGATGAACTAAAAATTCTTCAAAACTAGTTAAGAGTAGACCAAAGGAATCCTTTTACCATGTTGTAGAGTGTGCTGGGATTTTGTTTTTATTCCAGTATGGTGAGGCCAACAGATCAGGAGACAATTGTCACTGAACAGATAGTTTGTTACTCACGGTTCCCTAGGGGAGGAGGCCTGCCACACCATGCAAGGCTCGAGGGGTCCACTGGGGTGGGCAGGAGGTAGAGAATGAGGGGGAAGCTGTGCCAGAGCCTTTACTGTAGTTTTCCTCGGAAAGAAAGAGCAAGTCCGGGTGAAGCTGATCAGGTTCAGGATTAGATAGTTTGAGTAATTACAGTGGGTTCTGGGCTATAAGGTGGTCCCTAGTTGTCGGGTACGTGGCCTGGGGGTGATTTAGGGCTGGGGAGTAATGTCTGGGACTGCAGGAGACTAATAAAAGGAGGTGAATAGGGGTGTTGGACTCAGAATGAATTGGTTTGCATATCAAAGGTGTGCATTCAGGCAAGTTGTTTGCTATCCCTAGGAATTAGCTAACCTGGAGTTGAGGGGGGTCCCTCCCTGGCTCCACAAGGCCCCAAGATGTCAAAACATCACAGCACATAGAAAATGACATGACTGATACACTTTAGTCAAGCTCATCAGCTGGGATACACATCTTAGGAAATCGGACCAGTGTCTGATATAAAATACATTTTTGCTTCTTCTTTCTAAACTTATATATGTTTAGCCTTGTTTTAAGCAATAGCATCCATGAAATGGTGGGTCTGATAGGCTTAGTATATTTTCCAAGCAAATATTAAAGTACATACATAATAAAACTACCTGAACCATGTCACATACCACCAGTGTTTTGTGTGTGTTGGAGTGGGAAGCGCTGATCGAGCTCACCTTCTTCATGTTACAGAGGAGCAGTTTGAAGGTCATGAAGGGCAAGTGACTTGTCCAAGATCATCTAACTATCTGTGGCAAAGTGAGAGTTCGAACTCATCCCAATGCATTTCCTTCTCTGCATGATGATGCTAACAGAAAGCAAGGCAATTTGCTTGGAGTCACTTGACCAGCGACCCCTTGGGTTATCCTAACGATTTCCTGGTCCAGTTGTCTGTTTAGAACTACCAATATCATGAGCCTGGAAACAAAAGCACTTCCCCTGGTATAAATCTGTATTCTTCCTTGTCTACCTCAGGTCACTATGGAACGGGGAGGAAGATCTTCCAATGACTAACACATCCCTTGCTTTGAAAACTGGGCCAGGAGTGCTTAGTGTAAATCCTGTCCTCAAAAAAGTCTGATTCAGTGAAAAAATTCCAAGGATCAGAATTTAAAGGAAAGGACACGAAAGCCAAACACTTCAATTCCAAAAGGGCAATTCAGAGCCTAGATGCAGGGTTCGAGAGTTTACGAAGAAATGCCCTAGTATTTTATAAAGTAAGCAAGGAATTTGGTTAATATGGTGCATGGCAAGAAACACTGGTCCACTTGGCAGGTTTTTCCTTGAGGTGTCTGTGCTTTTGTTAACAATAGTGAGAGCTGACATGGAGTCCTTACCCCTCAGCTGGCACTGGTCTAAACCCGGAGAATGTGAAGAAGGCACTCTAATTCTCATCTTACAGAAGAGGCTGCCGAAGTTGAGAGAGGGTAAGTACCTTGCCTGGTGTCAGACCCATAGTAAGTGACAGAGCTGGGACGTAGGCCCAGAGATGTCTGATCCCAGAAGCCACGACCTTAGCCATGCTGTTCCATTGCCCTATGCAAGGGCTTCTCCCCTAGAACATACTGTCTCATTTTCTAGAAATTCACATGCTTTGTGCCAGGATGCCTAACTCATATTGTACTGCCTTGAAAATATTGAAATGTTCAGATTTAGAACTTTTTTCCCCGGCACAGCTACTCAACCCAAAACGGCTCCTGGGTCATCAAATAGACTGCAACTCAGGCAGGCCTGTTGTCAATATTCATTGGTTTCCTTGTTGCCTTTTTTTTTTTTTTTTTTTTTTTTTTTTTTTTTTTTTTTTGCTCTTTCTTATTCAATAGGAAGGTCACCATTAAGAATTCCTAGGAGGTCCTTGGCCCCTGCTCCCTCCACAAAGTTAGGATGGAGTTTTGCGTGTCATTTCCTAATGAAATGAATACAAGTATAACAACATATTATCATGTTAAGATTTGGTTCCCTGTTGTTTGGTCCAAACAGTGCAGGCCAGGGGTTGGGGGAGAGATTGATTTTTTTTTTTTTTTAAGGCTTAGAAAATTTTTTCCTCCCTTCACCTTCTTTCCACCTTCTTAGCTGCAACTAATTCAGGCCTGTCTTCATTTCCTAAAACTGTTTGACTTCAATACTAGGAAGAACATGACCAACATCTAAATCAGCATTCCCACTACAATTAGTATTGTGGTACTAGTAGTAGTGATTCATTGCTGATATTTATAATATGTGATGTATGACTCATCATGCTTTATAGTAATAAAATTCTGTGCCTCCTTTATAAAATTAGAACATAAATACATAAATTTTCAAGCCCTGCATCTAAGCTCAATAAATTGGAATACATAGAAAGTTATCCCCATCAGGACATCCTTCATATTCTGAGATGACTTCTTGATGGGGAGAGGAAAGAATGCCATCGCTAGAACAGCAGTAATCTCCCCAAACCTAGATTATACCCACTGAGGCTCCGCACACGGGAACATTCTCCATCGAGCATGTCATGGTGAAAAATACAATGTTTGAAGCCACCGTTCTCACTCAGTCCGCTCAGGTAACAGATGAGGAAACTAAAGCTCGGGGAGGTTAGGTAACTTGACCAAGGCCCCCCTGGGGGACAGAAGCCATTCTGAGACAAAAAGTCAGTGTTCCTGTAGCAGGAAAATAGCACCACAGCCTAAAGGGAGATGAAGCTCATGAGAATCCGTCGACTCCTAATTTCCAATGCCCTGTTCAGTGGTGCTCCAAAAATATCACTCACTCATGGAAATCTGTACTCGTTTTCTATTATTGCTGTAACAAGTTGCTGCAAATTTAGCCGCTTCAACAGCACAAGTTCATTATCTTACAGTTCTGAAGGTCAGAAGTCTGACACAGGTCTCCTAGAATCGAGGCGTCGGCAGGGCGGTGTTCCTTTCTGTAGGTTCTACAGGAGGATCCATGTGCTTGCTTTTCTGGGTTGTTGGCAAAATTGAGATCGTTGCAGGTGTAGGACTAATGTTCGAGATTTTTTTGCTGACTGTAGACTGAGGGCCCTTCCCAGCCTGTTAGGTCGGCTGCATTCCTTGGCTCCCAGACCCCTTCCTCTAACTTCAAAGCAATGGCAGTTCCAGTCCTGGGCGCGTCCACCTCTCTGACTCTTCTTACACGTTCACAGCTCTCTCTGACCACACCTGGGAAATGATCTCCATTGTAAGGATGCATGTGAAGTAAAGTGGGCCCATCTGGATAATACAGATGATATTTCCATCTCCGAGTCCTTACCATTGATCACATCTGCAAAGTCCCCTTTGCCACACAGAAGTTAGCGTGTTCACAGGTCCAGGGATTAGGACCTGGATATTTCTGAGGGCCATTCTTCTGCCAGCTGGGCCAGTTCTTCCTGTATTCCACTCCTACCCAGGAGAGAAGTCAGGATGAATCTGCCGCTCTCCAACTGCTGGACCTTCTATAACTGGCTCGTTCCTTCCGTTAACTCCCATTTTCAATCCCACTGGTTTAATTTCTTCCAAGGCACTGGATGAACATTCCTTCCCCGTTCAAAATAGTGGATGACTCCTCCTTGTCCACTTAAGTGGATCTAACTCCTCTGCATTCAAGGCCTTCGGGGCTTTGTTATTTGGTTCCAGCTTCTGTTGTGTTCATATCTCTCCTGCAACCCATTTTCTTTGCCAAAACAGACTCCTCCATCTTCTCCACGTGCATCAGGGACTCTCTTACCTCTGAGCATTTACCTGCATTGTTTTCTCTGCCTAGACTCTCCTTACTCCATTAGGCCTGAATCTCCTAATCCTGAAGTCTTCCAAACTCAACTCAAATGTGACCACTTTCTGGAAACCTTCCCTGTTTCTTCCCACCATCATTAAGGCTGGAAATAAAGTTTTCTTCTGATTTCTTATGGCTGTCATGTACCCCTTTTTCTTGACACTAAGCAGGTTCTAGTTATCTATTGCTACAGGACAAAGTATGCCAAAACTTAGTGGCTTAAATCTACCATCTATTATTATTATATTTCATGATTCTCTGGGTCAAAAGTTTGGTCAGGGCATAGCAGGGATGACATCTCTTCATTCCATAATTTCTGGAACCTGGCTGAGTTGACTTAGGTGTTTCTCTCGCTCATTCTCTCCACAGAATTTTTCTTTTTCTTTTTTTTTTAAGATTATATCTATTTATTTGAGACACAGAGAGAACACAAGCAGGGAGGAGGATCAGAGGCAGAAGGAGAAGCAGGCTCCCCACTGAGCAGAGAGCCCAACATGGGGCTCGATCCCAGGCCCCCAAGATCATGACCTGAGCCGAAGGCAGACGCTTAACCAACTGAGCCACACCCAGACACCCCTCCACAGAGTTTTTCCACATGCTTAGCTCAGGCTTCCTCACTGCATGGTGGCCTTGAGGTATTTGGAATATTTACAAGGCAGCTCAGGGCTCCAGTAGACCAAAATGGAAGCTGCCAGTCCATGCAAAGGCAGGCCTGGACCTGGCATAGCATCACTTTGGCTTACTTCATCACCCAAAGCCATTAAACACCAGATTCAAGGGAAGGAGAAGTGGACCCCCACTATCCCATGGGAAAAGTATCAAAGAATTTGACAATATCTTTGAAATAATATAAATCATTTTCTAGGTACTTTGATACATGCCTGATCTTTTCTCTAAGACTATGAGTTCTGAGTATAATTCATTTAGTAGCTGCCATGATGCCTAGCACAGTGCTTTGCCCATAACAGGAACTCAGTAAATTCTGTTGTATTAATGAATAAATGTGTTTAGCAGGTTCTTGCTGAAGGTAACTACAACCAATTTTACAGCCTATAGAGTGAAAAAAGATGGGGGTTCGGGGGCTACAGTTCTTTTTTTAAAGGCCACCTAAAAGATTTTGAAAATATACTTAAATGAAATAGATGACCATGTTCTTTAGAGGGCAGACCATGGGCATGACTGTTTAGTATGTGTGACGTGAATTATGGGTAATCAATTCGGGGTTGTATGAACCAATCTTTCTAATTGGATTCCAATGAAGCACCTGCTTTCTGTCAAACTCCAACTCCTGAGTGGGCAAGTCACATAGAAACCCATTTCACATCGATTTTCAATGCTGTTTAATAGTTTGTTTTGCTGATTCAATAAAAATTTAAATCTATAATAACCATAGTTAAAGTGCTTTCCATCACATTGTTCTTATCAGCTCTCTGCTCCAAGACTGCATGGTGTCAGCTTTTAGAAATTAAAAACCTTTGTCTAAATATAAAATTTGGGGGGGGGGCGCCTGGCTGGCTCGGTGCGACTCTTGATCCCGGGGTCATGAGTTTGAGCCCTATGTTTGGTGTAGAGATTACTTAAAAATTAAAAAAAAAAAAACGTAAATATGCAATTTTCCCTCCAAAATGCATTATCAGCATCCCTTACAATTTTAACCCCCATTGTATCATGAAAAACTACTACCCTCCTTTTTTTCTAAGAAGAGCATTGAAAAGGTTTTCTAGAAAATGTTTTAAAAATTCAATAATAGTAATAAGATAATCATCATAATAAGGCAATCAGTTTTATAAAGAGAAAATTATTAGAAGGCAATGTGTAGTCTACATCTGAAACTAATATGTACAATAGGTTGGCTCATTGGATTTAAATTTAAAAAAATGTTAAAAATGAAAAAAAGAGGGCAGTGTGAAGAATAAGAAAGCACAGGTTTGAAAAGAAAGCACTCCAACTGCCCGTTGCTCAGAGCTTTTTTCTTCTCATCCACAAACCAGAGCTAATAATCTCTAACTCATGAGGTTTTTGAAAGCATTTGGTGGACAATGTCTATTTCTGATACCCCTGGACCATCCTTTCTATGCCTCCCCTTTTCAATATGACACTGAGCAGTTCATAAAGGATAAAGGCATAAAGTGTTATGCCTCTGAGGGAGCATTTGCAAGTTACTAAGAGATAGAGATTTCCCGGCAAAGGAATGAATTTCTAATGGTAAAAATCACAGCTCTCAGAAGTAAAACTACAGGATGGAGTTAGGGAAGAAGATGCTTCAGGGAGGGTCCTTCTAACCAAAGTAAAGACCTTCATCCTCACCTAAGGGTTAGGCCAGCCCAGGAAGGCACTATCAGAAGGGGCTTAGTGGTCAGATATTTGGACTTCAGACAGATCCCCATTTGATCCTCAGCTTAGCCGTTTACCAGCTGTGTGAACTAGCATGTTTCTTTAACATCTCTGATTCTTGGTTGCCTCATCTATAAAATGGGGCAAAAAGAGAACTTACCTCACTGGTTGCCTATGAGAATCCAATGAGGTAAGACACGTACTATGTGCTCGATCAGTGACAGCATCTGATAGCCAGTAGGAGTAGCTTAGTTTGATTTTTTTTTTCCAGCGATGATGAAACTTAAGTTTTAAAATCCCCAATTTTAAGTGTCAAAATATGTGAGCACATTGTCCAACCCATGGAGGGAGGTCCAACACGGTAACGCCCGCTGTGTTCATCCTTATATTCCATTCCCACGCCCTCCCTCCGCTTGTCCACCAGCCAACTGCCTGGTACGTAGTATGTACTCAGTAGAAGCTCAATTAAAGCTCCAGGCCCTGAGGAACAAGAAAGTGATCCTCAAATCATTGTAATGACTTAAATTTAAGGTGATGAGTGAAACATAGTCAATGCTTTGAGAAAAGCAGGGCTCGCTGTCAGAGAGGCCCCAGATCTTAATTGTGGAATCTGGGATTTAGACATTGCTGCTCTTGCCCTCATGCCCACAAGGACCCTTTGGGACTTTGTTGTCTGAGATAGACGCCAAGAGGGCATGGCAACCATCACTCTGCCTCCAGCTTCAAGTCTTGAACTCGCTTTAGCCTGGGAAACCCGTGTGGCCAAGTCTCCACATGGGTCTAGCACCACCTGGATCTGGAATCCATTCAGGGGATCCATCATGCGTTTACTCTTGGCAGGGCACACCCTGAAATGCTGGAATCTGCTCTCACTGAAACTTCAATCTGCAACAAGGGGGACAAAAGCCCCTCCTGGAGGTCCTCAGTGGAAATGGAGGATGACTGCTTTCTTCGGCATGGCTTAAGGAAGGCTTCCGTCGGGGAGATGAGAGTCAGGGTTTGCCCCAGCCACGCTGCTTGGCTGATCCTGAGGGCCTCGGGAGAAACTTCTCCTGTGACCGTGGGGCCAGATGCCACTGCTCACTGCTCACTGCTCTTATTTATTTATATAAGAGAAAATAAGGAGCCCTTGTTGCTTAAGCTTATCATAAGGAAGGGTAGAAACCCTTCATTTAGCCCAAGATGAAATTTTTGCTCTCGGAATAATAAGTACACCTAACTCCAAGAATTATGTGCATTACTCACTTGTAGCCATCATACTTCATAGCCCATCCAAGTCCCCGGTGTTCAGGAAACCCTGCTCTATTCTAGACAAGAAAAATCAGGTTGTTGTTGGCCTGGGTTTCTTCTATGACTTGAAACTCCCACGGGCTGCAGCTGGGTAATATTTTATCTGTGTAGCCCCTGAGCAATATAATGAGAAGTTTGCAAGACCCTAATCTCAGGAAACATGAGGTGTAGTGCTGGAGAGTTTTGTCTAGTCCTTTACCCAAGTACTTACCCTATGATGTGCCCGTTACTGTTTAGACATTGAAGACACATCAAAGAACTCAGACAAGCTCCCTGTTCTCCTAGAACTTGTTTAACTTCAGCAGAGGAAGACCCATCCTGCAAGTGTAAACTAACATATGAACAAGAAAATCTTAAAATCGTAAGTGTGACTGTGTAATTTTAAAAGGTGATGGGAGAGAAATGAACAGGAGGAGGGAGGAACGTTGGCTGCAGGCATCAGGAAAGGCCTCTCTGAGAAGCCAAGAGCTGAGTGGGGCGTGGGACACAAGAAAGCACTCCCCATTGGGAGGCTGAAGGCAGAGGGTGGCAAACAACGGTCCATCCCCAAATGCCAGCTGACACCATTTTTGGGTGTGGCCTGCAAGCTGAGATGGGGTTTTACATATTTTTTTTTTAAGATTTATTTAGTTATTTTAGAGTGAGAAAGAGCACGAGCAGGAGGGGCAGAGGGAGAGGGAGAGAGAATCTCAAGCAGACTCCCACTGAGCGCAGAGCCTCTCATGGGGCTCAATCTCACGACCATGAGATCATGACCTGAGCCAAAACCAAGAGTCAGACTCTTAACCGACTGTGGGGCCCTGGGTTTTACATTTGTAAATGGCTCAAAAGAAATCTAAGTAGCAAATAATTTGTGACACATAAAAATGATATAAAATTCAGGGGCACCTGGGTGGCTCAGTTGGTTAAGCATCCGACTCTTGATCTTAGCTCAGGTCTTGATCTCTGGGTTGTGAGTTCAGGCCCCACATTAGGTTCCATGCTGGGCGTGGAGCCTACTTTAAAAAAAAAATGATAGAAAATTCAAATTTCAGGGTTCATCAAGTTTTATTGGAACAAAGCCAGGCTTATTTGTTTACGTGCTGTCTCTGGCTGGTTTGGTGGTACAGTGATGAAGCTGAGTAGTTGTAACAGAGATCGCGTGGTCCACAAAGCCTAAAATATTTACTATGTAGACTGTTCAGGAGAAAGTGTGCTGACCCCGATCTAGGAGAGGAGCATTCACACAGAGGGAGCCACACATGCTAAGTCCCAGCACAAAGACCTGCAGGACGGCGGGAGGCTGGAATAAGGGGCGGAAATGATGTCTGGTAGACACGAAGAGACCAGGTGTGGGGGACACAGGGTATCTGTGTTATCTAATCATATGCACCCTCTGTTACGGGCCATAGGCTTTTGTCTAGTCTCTACCCCAAATGGTTTCAGCTTACTGAAAGCAAGGCCAAAGTTTTATCATTATATTGGACAAAATTCTACCCCATCCTCCTGGACCAGTGCGACCTGGGAACCCATAAACCTTCCTCCTGCCTCCCTTTGGCTCAGAGCTGTGGTTTTCCAACTACAGCCGATGATCAGGATCCCAGCTCTGCTGCTTACTGTCTGTGTGACCCTGAACAAGTTGCTTGACTCGTCTTGGACTTGTCTTGGACAAGGAAACTTGGCTAGTTTCCTCTTTTGCAATGTAAAGCTACTACTACCTAACTTAAGGAGTTCTGTGACATTTAAATGAGATAATGCACCTAGTTAAGTGCTGTGATTAGCAGCTGCTATTATTATTATTATTATTATTATTATTATTATGGAGCAAAAATGTCACTTGGCAAATGGGGCTCCTGGGCCCCACCCCCAGAGATCCAGATTCAGTTAGTCCAGGGTGGGGCCCAGGAATCTGTCACAAGGAGTGTGAACCACACATTGAGAAATACTGCCCCAGGAAGACAGGTGCGCGGCCATCTGGCCTGGCCACGTGACCTGGCCTAAGGCATTGATAAACAGTAACTATGTATCATTGAATGGGTAGAGAGTTTGGGGGCGGGATTTTTTTTCCCCCCTATGCAAGCCCAAGCCTGAGTTTGGACAAAGAAGTGGAGGTGGGGATGGGGCGGGCCTCACAGCAACCCCACTCTGTGTGAATCATATTAAGTACTCTCCCATTGCAGGCAGGGGCCTGCGCAGGTTAAGTTGTGTATAGACAAAGAGTTCCCTGCCTTACTTTGCAAATCCAGGAATCTCCGTGTGGTTTATTCCCATTCTTATCCTGTGGTTGATAGGGTTCTTGTATTGCCCTTCCTGGGGGAGACAGTACAGAGGGAGACAGGCTTCCTCCTTCTCCCCTCCTCCCCCATTAGTTAGGTGGGGGGGGTGAGGGCAGGAAGGTAAATGAGGGAGGCAGAAGTGGTGTGAGGCAATAAGAGGGGCGCGGACCGTGGTCAACCAGAGAGCTCCTGTTGCACCTAAGGGGCTAGCTGCTCCTCCTCCTCCAGCCAATTGTGGTCATGCAGGAATGCAGACTGAGAATGGCCAGAAATTCCTTATTTTCTAAAAGAAGCCAACTATCCAGATTTTTATGCAATATATTCCCATTAATAAACATTGGCAAGTAATTAAAAAAAATGTTTTAAACCCAATAGGGGCCAAACAAAACAAATCCTCTGGCTGGATCCAGCCTGTGGGTGGGCCTCCGATTTGCAAACTCTGGTCTAGACTGAATAATTCAAGCTCTGGGACCTGCACCCCCACTCCCACCCCACCCTGTGGCCTGGTATAGGGACAGGAATTGTCCTAGGGCAGTGGTTCTCAACTTTAGTGACACATTAAAGTCACCTAGGGAGAGAAAAATCAGTTACTGATGCTCAGGCTCCGTATCCAAAGGGTCTGATGTTATTGGTCTGGGGGTGGGGGTGGTTGTGGGGAGGAGGTCCCCAGGGAATACGCAGTCAGAGTTGAGCTCCAGTGTGCAAGGCAAGACCAAAGGGACAATGTTTGGAGAAGGAAATCCTGGGAACAGGGTGCCCAGCAGTCTGAAAAACAAGGCCAGGCTAGAAACCCCTGTCAAGGGGTTAACTTTCTGTGCTTTCCCGCCTGGTCTCTGGGCAACGGTCACATAGACAGTGGTGAAGAGTTTGACATTATCAAACGGTTCGGCTTGCAGTTGGCATCAGACAGCAACAGGTGTTGATGAAATCCTCATAGCCTAGTACAGCTGTAGGAGGTAATGGTGGGGGTAGGGGTGGTTATGGGTTTGGTCCGGGAAAGAAGGGACAAAGGGAAGGTATGGTGCTCCTCCTGCTCCCCTCTACTGATGCCCACGCAGGGAAGCAGCGGATGCCTGGGAGCATCAGGCAACCGTCAGCAGCCCAGAGGGAAGATTCTTCACCACAGAGGAGCTGTGTCAGGCAGACCACCTCTTTCCCAAATGTTCTGGAAGAAAGTGACCCTCAAAGTTGGTGTGAGAGTGGATGCTTGAGTGAAGAATTCTTTTGCAGTTTTTGATACCTAGCCCCCGTTTGGCCCAAGGTCGGTTGTAAATGCGTGTTGAAGGAACGGAGAGCAAGAATGAAGGCGTCAGTGGCTGTCTTTACTGCCCTTTTTGCCTTTTGAGGCAATTCTTACTCTTCTTACCCCTTCCCTATGAGCAAACAAGGTGGGGGAGGGGTCTGTATGGGAATTGGGTCCCCTGAACTTTGTTTTCCATTAGCTGCTGGGCTTTCCAGCAAGTTCACCAGTTGCCAGGGTGGTTTCATACAAAGGCTTCACTCACGTCTATTAATTGGCCCTTAACACACAGGAAGACACCAGTGAGTTTTTATAGTGTGTGGAGGGTTTTTGAACCAAGGAACCAGATTCCTCATTTTCCCTGCACCCACTATTTTCCCTTTGAAGTCCACGGGAGCCTTGCTCAGGGTGTCTAGAGAGAAAGGAGGATCTGGTCTAAGTGAATTGTTAGGAAAATGTATTAAAGTGCTAAAGTAAGATTAAGTTACCCAGAGAAAATACACTTTGGCCAGAAGAAACTGCAATCAGAACCATCTGAAGGGGGTCCTGTGGTCAGAGAAAAGAAGAAAATGTATTTTAAAAATTCAATTAATGGGCTAAATTACCTCAGAGGAAAGAAAGACTCATTGTCTTTTACATGTTTAAAATATGAATTGCCAATTAATGATGTGATTGGCAAATTGCTCTACAATTAAAAACAGAAATGTTGTTTGAGGCAATTAGAATAATTGTCATATGTTAATTATGGGTTGATGGATTTTGCATGCTGCCAGCAATTACCTTTTGAGTCTGAGCTTTTCTGAACAGAATCCAAATCCATAAAGACATTGATAAAATAAGAACTGTCTTCCCCGTTGGCATGCCTGCCACATTTTTAGTGTCTTTTAAGGTATGTAATTATTTTTAATTAGGTCTCCAGAAGAAATGTTCTTAATACATGTTTTACTAGGTCATCATTAAAGAACCTTGCAACCAATAAGAAAGGAGAGGGGAATAGAAAGAATACAGACATAGAAAGTCAGGCAAGTCTTGGTTTAGATATTTACTAGCTGGGTACTTTGGGCAAATTGCTTAGCCTTTCTGAACCTCAAAGTAAAATGGGGAAAATATCAACCATCACTAGGAGGTTTGTATGAGGTAATATTTATATATCCCCAAGTACTGTCAATGAGGCATAGCAAATGCTCAATAAAAGTAATTATTGCTTTTCTAGAAATAGTAGGATATACTCTCAAGCTGGGCTCGCCCCTCAACTATTTCAATATAGTAAAGTCCTTGAAGTTACCATTGTTGCAACTAGGACCGTCATATGTAGCCATCCAGATTATGGTCTGCACCACTTCTAGGAGAGTCCCTGATTTTGAAGGCTATGTGAATAGTGCTCCTTGAGGTTGTGCAGTGCACAACCTTCACAACTATACATGGCTGTTCTGCTTAAGACCAATATCGTAAACTTAAGTCCTTTTAAATATTTGGTCCTCAGATAAACATGTCTTATTTTTGTTCATTAGACCTTCTCCTAGTTGGGCTTTTTTCAGCAGCATTTATCAGAGGTTAGCATATTTTTACCTGGAGACCTAATATGGCCTACAGCCTGTTTTTGCAAATACATTTTTTTTGGAATGCAGTTACACCTGTTCATTTACATATTATCTTCAGCTACTTTTGAGCTACAAGGGCAGAGTGGAGTAGTTGCGACAATGACTCTGTGGCCCACAAAACTGAAAATATTTGCTATCTGGTCCTTTATTGAAAAAGTTTGTTGACCCCTGGTATTAATGACTGTCTAGCCAAATATCTGTTTATATGAATTCCAGGGAAAGTTAATGGCTGATGGCTGTGGTTATTGTTTCTCTTCTC